TGAGTCGATATAGGACACGTGTTTGGTCCTAGGCCTAATTATGCAAGATGGATGTGCCTCTGGGGCCTCATCCATTAGTCACAATTAGCTGCAGCAAGTTACACAAACCTTACATGAAGACCAACCAGATTCCAGCCACTAAGTTCTTCAAAAGAGTCTCTCAAGCCACGTCAGGTGAGACGCCCATTGGAAGCGAATCAGTTTTTATCAAAAGGGCGCTTTGTGGGTTGCTTTCTGCTGCTTTTTGGTTTGAAGCAGACCAAAAGGAAAAAGAACATCCAGATAGGGAAAGTCATTATGACTTTGGGATCCATGTGTGTCTGGTTCACGCCTTGCCCTCCCTCCCATGGGCGGATGTTTCCCAAGAGTCACGAATGTGAACGATGAACGAGTTTAGTAGGAGAACAGGACTTCTGCTGTTCAGCACCCACCTGAACAGGTAAAACCCAGCAGGAGGACCAATCTGGCAAAGACAGAAAAGGGATCAGCGGCCCAGGTCTGCTCCTGTCCACGCAATGGTCCCCAACCTTGGGCCTCCAGATGTTCTTGGACTACAACTCCCAGAAGCCTTCACCACCACCTCTGCTGGCCAGGATTTCTGGGAGTTGAAGTCCAAGAACATCTGGAGGCCCAAGGTTGGAGACCACTACGTCTACTGGATGCCTTCATTTCAATATCTACAGCCTTCCCCAGAACCCCCCAGCTCAGGTTGAAGGACCTCCTTCCAATAAACCCAAGGAATTCAATTACCAGTAAGGGGTGCCGATAAACGACTTCCTCTTTGCAATGGTGGCGGTTATTTTTGCTGCTACGCCAAAGTCAGCTGCGGGAGAAAGAACGGAAGAGGTTGCTAGAAGCTGCCCTTCCAGTTTACACATAAACCCAAGGGAAAGGGTCACTCTCAGGAAAGCCCAGTCACTCTGCCCAGTAGAAAGACTGGGGGGGGAGGGATTCTGGGCGGGAACTCCAAAAAGTAACTTTTCTTCTGTACGTAACTGGTTTGTCAACACCACTGGCATGAGTCTGGCCTCTGCCCAGCACTCCCTTTTGCATGGCAAACACAAAAAAGACAGCCTCAGAGCTAGAAAGGATGCCAAGAGTCATCCAGTCCAACTCCTTGCCGATGTAGATTGTCTATTCTGTCCAGAATGCATCGGAGTCAGTAAGCAGCCTTGCCCCTCCCTCACAGGTCAGCCAGGGTACCCGACCCCACCCCTTCTTCTTTTAAGCACTACCTCATACATTCATCTGTTTACGTATTAATTCTTCACCTATGTTACTTTTAATAAAATCTAAATACTTATTAAGGGGTTGCAAAGCTGATCTGAGAACCAGAGAGTCTGCTCCCTGGGTGACGATACAGGCGCTAGGCAATCGACCCCATCCAGGGCCAGTTTTTCTCCCATCGGCCAAACAACCCAAAGGGAGGGAAAAAAGGTCCATCTGGGGTGGATAACAGCGACACAGCCCTTGGATGGTCTCCATGGCTCTACAAGAGTATCTTTGGGCTTAATGTCAAGGCCAGTGAGATGAGTCCTCTAGTGAGGATAACTGAGAACACTCTGGACGGTCAGGGAAAAGGAACTCCTCGATCTCACTGGTCCTGGATCATGAGGGGGCCCAGGAGGCTGACCACCTCCCAATCGACAAGAACACAGAAGGGTACAAAGCACGCGGGAGTTTCAAAGCTCCCGGAAGGAGGACTCAGTCGAAGGGAAACACTTCTAGGGAAACAGCACTCCTCAAGAGTAGGGGCCTACTGGGGAAAAAGCTTGGCCTTTCAGGAAGTTCGGGGGGCCAAATCCTGCAGCTGGGTTCACTTCCCAGCTAGCCCAAATGCCTGCAGCTGATGGGCTGAACTGCTAGGTAGTTCAGCTAGCTAAACTTTAGGCTAGGACGTGGCATATTGTCTTTACTTGCTCCAGTATTGGTAGGAACCAGGAAAAAAACGGTGGTTTGTGGCTAATCACAAGCTTTCTGAGCTTTTTTAAAAAAGTGAACCACAAACCGGTTTGTTTCTTTAAAAAGCTTTGTGCCCAGGGGAATGGGAAACGAACACCCCCGCCCCCCGTCTGCCCCCTTCGCCTCCCTACCTGGTGGCACCTCTTAGTCTTCCTCCTCCGCCACGGCCACCTTCTCACACTGCAGCCCAGCTGACAGGCGTGCCTGTGTAATCTCGAGACTACAAGGGCACGGACCAAAGTGGTGAGCGCCCCTACATCAAGATGGGGATTCTGGTAGGTATCTGTCTATTGCTACATATGGCCCAGAGGGTAACCATGCCTGAGAGTGTTACACGTAAGGAGAGCCAGCACACTTACCTAACTTGATGTCTCCATGGTCAGTGAGCAGAATGTTTGCACCCTAAAAAATAATAATAATAATAATCAAAGGTTTTTGGCCACTTGCTTAACCTACTAACGCTGTTTTTTTTTTCCGAAGAGAACAAGAGATTTCTTGTGGAATCACTTACCTTAATGTCCCGATGCATTTTGCCTTTCATGTGCAAATACGCCAGTCCCTAGGTGGCAAAAAAAGAAGCAAAAATGAGGATGTAACTTGAAGGTGGCGCACTTAATGGAAAGCAACCAGGGGATGATTCAACCATGAGATGATGTGAAACAATCAGCAACCGTCAGCAGAGATAGATTTTGGATGCCACCACATTTTGATTTTGATTTTATTTTACACTAGTCTCGAGTGCTTGGAACACTCTTTGGCATGCTTACAACATAATGCACAAGAAACATTTTGCCCCCAAGAAAGCTGGTATACTCACTTCACCGAGTTGGGAAAGAGTCAACCTTAATGGAACCCGGGTGAAATCCCAGCAAGACTACAATTTAACCTCTATGCCACAAGATTCGCTTTCTCCCCATTTAGATCCCACCCTATTCTCTCAGTGGGGAGACTGAAGGGGATTCACAGTATGAATTAAAACATATAAAAGCTAAAAAAAAATACCCTCATGTTATAAAATTAAAACACAAGTTACAAGCAATGAATGAAAACAGTTTTCAAACTATTTAAAGAAGACCAATGGTAACTTTTTTGGAAAAAAATCATGATTATGGCCAAAGTCTTATTGAGAAAACCTCACACATCAGGGAAACCACACAAGCTGTTTTTTGCTGGCTGCCCATCACACAGCTGACTACAGAATTGGGACTGACCAAGAACACAGTGGACACTGCAAAATGGGTAGAACTGTTTGTGCAACTGCCTCTACACAACCATGGAAGCCAACAGGATTCTGGTTTCTGCCATACAGTAAGTACCGTTTATCGGTTTCCTTAAGGAACAGCCACTAGCAAAAAATCATGAGTTTCCTTAAGGAACAGCCACTAGCAAAAATATATATACAGTATATCTTTCAACGTGACATAGAATCATAGACTAGTGAAGTTGGAAGGGGCTATAAGGCCATCAAGTCCAACCCCTTGCTTGATATAAATATTAATAAAACCAATACTACTACTACTAATAATAAAGGGTATTTGCCAACTCTGGTCCATGGGGTCACGAAGAGTCGGACACGACTGAACAACTGAACAATAACAAATAAGGCCATCAAGTCCAACCCCCTGCTTGATGAAGGAATGCAAATCGGTGGCAGCTCCCAGGCTACGGAACGCCCTCCCTCGGGAGATCAGGATGCCCCCCCCCGTCCTTGTTATCCTTTCAAAAAAAGCTAAAGACTCATCTCTCCTGCACTCTGGGATGATTGAGAACAGATCCTGCCCCTCCTCTGGATGACAGCCTTTCAAATACAGTGGTGCCCCACATAACGAGCGATTCGTTTAACGACGAATCCGCATAGCGATGAGGTTTTTGCGATCGCAAAAGCGATCGCATAACGATGTTTTCAATGGTAAAACATCGCTTTGCGATGATCGGTAAGCGTTTCACTTACCGATTATCGCATAACGATGTTTTAAAAACAGCTGATCGGCGGTTCCAAAATGGCCACCAGAAAAATGGCCGCCCGCTGTGTTTTCGTGCCCTTTCCTCGCATACCGCGCAGCGAAAATGGTGGCCTCATGGAGGATTTCCGCAGAACGGTGAGCTTTTTGCCCATAGGAACGCATTGAAGGTGTTTCAATGCGTTCCTATGGGCTTCTTTGCCCCGCATAGCAACGAATCCGTATAGCGACAATTTTTTTGGAACGGATTATCGTCGCTATGCGGGGCACCACTGTATTTGAAAAGTGCTCTCCTATCTCCCCTCTGTCTCCTTTTTCTCAAGGCAAAACATGTCCAGTTCTTTCAGCCATTCCTCACATGGCTTGGTTTTCAGCCCCCAATCATTCTTGTCACCCTCTTCTGAACTTGTTCCAATCTGTCAGCATCCTTCTTGGGAGTGGGGTGTCCAGAACTGGACCCAATACTCAAGATGACATATCAGTAGTACTATACTTCTGCTCATCAATATATGGATTAGCAGTGTAATCTTATGCACTGTGTACCATGGGACTTACTCATATGTAAAGGAATACAGGATTACCACCTAATCAACGCTAGAGAGAGATCAGACTAAGTTGTCTATATATATATTTGGCAGGAGGTTAAATATAAGCACTTTTGGAAGGTAGCGAAAATAATAATCAAGAATTTCTGGGAAAAGCAATGACTTCAATTGCTAAATTAGGCTTACTTAATGACCCGAAGGATACTTTTGATAAGAAAGAGAGGAACGTGTTGCAGCTTATGATTTCCCAGAGTATGAATCAATAAAACCTGGAAATCTGTTGGAACTCCTGGGCTGAGGCAATGACTGGACAAAAAATTTGGCACATTTCAGTTTTATGACCCAGTCATCAGCCATTAGGTATTGTAGAGCAGGAAACACACGTGCAATGCAAATATTTGTGAATGAGAGACTTAATCGCCATTTATTACTGGAATTTTTGTAAGGCCAGACAAAAGTTCAAAGCTTACATCCATTGTTAATAATTTAAGGCTGTTCCGTTTCTTGTGTCCAGTTATGATTACAGCGAAACTAAAACCTTGCGTTAAGAACTGTCTAAGGGAATTATTTTTGAATAGTTTAGATCTTGTCAGACTACCCTTACCATTAGGTACTGTCTGGATTTATCTGAGTTCAGATGCGTTTGTGTTATACAGAATAACTTATTAGGGTCCCCATACATACGTTTTAGAAATACTCTGTTTAGAAAACAACCACAAAATGTTGAAAAATAAGGATACAATCATTTTTTTTGAATTTTCCAAGGTCCAAAAGTCTGCTCCTTCATGGATTGCTGCCTTGTCGTGGCGAAGGGGCTTGAGTAACTCAGAGAAGCTATGGGCTATGCCGTGCAGGGACACCCAAGACGGACAGGACATAGTGGAGAGTTCTGACTAAACGCAATCC